AATCAGAAATGTATAAAAAGGAGTTCAGTGCATGAGCAATCACAATATATATATATATATATATAAATGGGTCAAAACCATCTATTACAAGCAGAGATTATCAAAGTGAATACAAAATTAAAATCTTTGCAAATGTAGCTTATAAGAGATAGACACAAAACAAAAGCAGAATAAAAAACACAAGGACAAAAAAAGAGACATATAAACATACCTTCTTACTCCCCAAATATATGCCACAGAGATATTAACAGGCCAATACAATATGTGAATATAAAAAAAAATCTAAAACATTCATAAGTATGTTCTGAAAGTTCACTGTACAGAAACTTTATTGTACACAAGAATGAAGAAATAGGCAGTTTTATCTTCAGTTAAAGTAGTTCAGGGCTATTAATCTAAGTTATTTTAATGTGCACAGCTGTTGGATGGTGTTTACTGAACACCTAAAAAATACCTATCTCATCTATCCCCAAAGGGATGCCTCTGGCCAACAAATATTTATTAAGTGGATAACTCAGTTTCCAAAAGGGAAGAGAAGCTTCCAAGAATAAAATGACATCTCATCTGAGCCTGAAAAGATGAGGAGACAAGTGAAAAGGGCAGTGGCCCAGGCAAAAGGGTTCACACCCAGAGCCCTGGAAAGAGAGCAGGATGCTTGAGGGGGCTGGTGAATAATACGAAAGTGTAAAGATCAGCAACAGACCTAGAGACCTGTGTATGTCACACAGAGAAAGCTACAGTGCCAGATTATATGAGCTTCTTTACAGATGCTTTAGAATAGTCAAAACATTCTTTCAAAGGAAACACCACCACCCTTATGCTTCTGTTGTTATAATGGGAGACCCAATTGAACTAGGCAACTTTTCAATTGAATACTTGGCCATATTGAAACTCTGATCATAAGGAAACAGAACAAAATAATGTATCAATTTTCACCCATATTTAAATTCTAATTCCCCTTTAAGAGCCACACACAAATCTTGCTTTCAGCCATATAACTTTCCAAGTCCCTCAACCAACATACTTTTGAACCTATTTCTGAATTCCTTTACTCCTTATAAATAAAAAGAATAATAACCTGCATCATAAAATGTTATGCTCTCACTGTTACCTTCTAAAAATCGGGCTTTCTGGGGCTGGAGAGATGGCTCAGTGGTTAGTAACGCTTACTGTTCTACCTAGATTTGCTTCCCAGCACGTACATCAAGTGGCTCACAACTGCCTGTAACTCTAGCTCTCAGAGATCTGATACCCTCTGGCTTCTGTGAGTACCTGCACGAATGTGGTACACATAAACTCATGTATACACACATAAATAAAAATAATCAAAAAATGTTTTTAAATTGTACTGTCTTTTCTTTACTACTGTGTCTTCATAATGGTAAAAACAAACAAACAACAAACAAAAAACAAACAAAAAAAAAACCCCTTACTATCCCATCCCATTCCCCAAGGTTCAGGTCAGTGTTCCCACACTTAAACAACTTTAGGTTAAAATTCTTCAGAGAAAAAACTGCAGTAACTTCAGAAACCCTCATAAGGCAAATATCAAATTGGTCTTTCTATTTGCTTTGGTTACAGTGTTTGACTTGCAGCATATTGGTAACACTTAAAAAAAATAAATCCCTTTTTACTTCTTCTCAATACTATACCTTCATCTATTCACATAATAGACACACATATGTCAGCAATATGAAAATGCTGAAAACCAGAGATCACATGATCAAGAGAGCAGAACACAGAAAAACCAGTCAACTGTTGGGTGGTAAACCACACCCAACAGACCCAGCAAAATTTAAAACAGAGAATTATACAAGGAAGCACTGCCTGTAATTTATCATGAAACTAAAGGTATCAATAATCACTGTAAATGCTCAAATAACATTCCGAGTCTAAGCCAGTCCTGAAGATCCAAACCTACAGACCCAGTGCTTCAGCACTGGTCAGCAATTCAGCCCTCTGGCAGGAAGAAAAGCTGGTTCACAGAGTTCCGACAAGGAACCTCTCCCAACTCCAGCTACAGTGTCATTCCAACTTCAGACATGAGTGATCCTGACCAAGTTACTTATCTCTCCAACTCTCAGAAAGATTCTGAATGTGTGGCTATACAAAAAAAAATAGAAAAGAAAAAAGAAAAAAAATCACAGACCTGTAAGCGTTACATTAATACGTCACTTACACTTTTATAGGATATTCTGCAAGAGCTTCTGATTAAAAAACATGTCAGATACTACTAACAACCATTAGGAATCACGAAGCATTCTATCTCCCTACTCTACAGTCTGTTTTTTTCAAACAGATCATTCAGCAAACATTAATGTACAAGGCATTATGCACAAGAACATAATGTAGTAAGCACATACTGGGTACACAGCAGGATACAGTTCTGCCCATGAAGAGTTCCTGTTCTGGATGAAAGCTCTGAGCAGCTAGAGACTCACAGGTGGGTTCTCAGCTGTCACGTGGCTGGCTGGCTCCCTGGCTGTAGAAGATGGCAGCTCTGGAGCTTCTTGCACCATCCCCTCCTTGTCGGTGTCAGTGTCGGACGTGGAGCGGGCCCGGAGCGAGAGTGCGGGCCCCAGGAGGGGCCAGAGCAGAGGCCCGCCCGGGAGCCGCTCCCCAGCGCCGAAGCCAGCAGCAACATGCTGGTCCTTCATCCGGATGAGCAGCTGCCAGAACTGAGGATGGGGAGACTTCCCTCTCTCTTAAACCTCAGATATGAAACATGTCTCAAACATGGTTAATGGTGACACTTATTTTATTAACATAATCCCTTGGCTTTTTCAAAGTAATTGTGTTCTTCCAAAAATTAAGACTAAAAAGTCTTATTTCAAGGGTGTGTATGCGAAGGCTACCTGCAATCTGTACACGCAAATAAATCAGAACGGTATGAATATTAAAGACACATGTCTTCTTAATGCTGTGGTAAGCCATGGCAACATTCACCATCAGAAACAAACATAACTTGATTGTTCCCTGAATATTTATTAGCTGCACTTATATGAATAACGCTATGTCAGATACTAGGGAAGTTATAAAATTAGACAGACTTGCTTCAAGAAGTTTCTAATTAGGTGGAAGAAGAGCACAGGCTGGCAATACCAACCTCATCTAGAGAAGACCCTATTCAGGGTCTGTCAACCCTCATCACTTCACGGCAATGAAAAGGGTGCTGTTTGCATAGCCCAAGACCTGAGGCAGCCTGGCTACTAGAGGAAGCCCTGCACTAAGGTCTGAAGGTCTGAATAGCAGCAGTATGAGAGCTGCCAGGCTCATCTTCCTTACATTCATCCCTCTGCCTCTAACTTCACCTGGCAACTGTACTGGACAGGTTCTACTACCAAGAAAAGTTCTATTGCTGAATAACATTGCAATCTATAATTCTATTCATCATTTTTACAATTCTGATCTAATAAAAGCATTAGCAATAATTATAAAAAGCATATTGATAAATGCAAGCCAGCAATAAAAGGAACCATTGATACACACCAGAATGCAGATGAACCCAAATGAAAGAAGCCAATCACAAAAGACCACACTATCATGATTCTAGTTATAAGAAATATTGAGAAAGGGTAACTTAGAAGCAGAAAGCAGATCAAGTTGGCTGGGCTAAGAGAGGAAGCAGCCACAATCAGGCAGTAAGCATCTTTGGGCAAAAGAAATGTTCTACAATTGGACAGTGGTGTGATCTATACATCTACTTAAAAGTCACTGGATTGTGCACTGAAAACAGGTGATTGTTACAGTATATACACTGATAACACAATAAAGCTGTCAAAATACTAGTATGCTGAAAAAAGTTATTTGTGAAATTTACTTTTGAAAAATTTTCCATTTTACCACCACAAACATACGTGCGTGTAGAAATAATAGATACGAAAACCTCTTCTACTGTAGACTACTAACAACTTTCCAGTGGTATAAAGCTTCCTCAGAACAACTGTTATTCTGAATTTTATATAGTAACAATACTCTATTTGAGACCATCTATGACTTATATGTGAAATATCCACAGTTCTCAATCATATGACCTAAGGAATGCTCATAAAGACAAACAACATCTGAGCAACACACCAAGGGTCACATCTCCCCTTACATTTTATATACAAAAGTATTTTTGCACAAAAAAAGGGAAAAAGAATACTCTTATTTTAACATATTTGACTTTCAATTGATGGAAAAGAGACTGCCCACTTTAATGAAACTGAAAATGTCTGAAGCACACCCGTCCAATAGAAAACTCTTGGTAAGGATGGGGCATTAGTCATCTTTCATCTACAGTCATTAAGTCATCTTCCAAGAGACTGAAATTATGGGTCTAACCTAGCATTTTCAAAGTGTCTTTCCTGATTTTATGATATATGCTTACATTCAGTCCTTAAACTGAATTAACATTCTAACATTGATTATAAAATAACTATTCTGGCTCATTTATTCAAAAGATTGAAATAATTTATATGCTATTATTGTATTTTTCTATAACGCAGAAATGAAATGCAGATGAGTTCTGAGAGAATTCTGAAAGCCAAGATATAACTTAGATTTCATCTACTTCAACTCACTCCTAGACACTCTAAAGGACAAACTGTGAGTTCGTCTCACTGTATACTTACCTAGCTTAAAACACACCTGCATACACAGCAGCTTTATTTAAAGTGAATTACAAAACTTCAGACTTTTAAGAAACTTTAAAGTGGGGCTGGACAGACGGTTCCGTGATTAAGAGGACCCAGGTTCAATTCCTAATACCCACATGGTGGCTAACAACCATCCATAACTCCAGTTCCAGGGGATCTGACCCTTTCTCCTGACCTCCACGGGCACTGCATGACACGGGTGCACTTACATACATGTACGTAATACACATACACATAAAATAAAAATAATAAAATAACTTTTAAAAAGAAACTTTAGAGCTTACCAAGATTGAACTCCTGTCCACAGAAGGTTATTAGATCATTATCAAGGCTTAACTTAAAATTTCAACCTTCTTAAATATTTTAAATTCTAAAATAACTGTTGTAAATCACAGTGATGAAACATTACCAAAGATTTCACTTTAATAAGACACAGACAATACACAAGCAAAAACCAAGCCAATAAAAAAAAAATTATCTTTCAGAATATAAATTTGTTTTCAACACAAAATGAATTAACCCGTTACCATAAATGTATTCCACTCAGCACTATTAGATCACAGTACATTAATCTTTAAAAAGTTAGTGAATTACTAAAGGCAATGGATTATGACTTATCTCAATATTTCCAATACACTGCTAAATAAAATTTCACCCTCAGTTGGCAGAACATAGCATTTTAAAAGCAAACTTCAGGGAAATATTCTCCAGGGGCTTAAAATATATTGTGATCTGCCCTACATGAAAACGGTGCATTGTCACAAAAAGTAAAAAAGAATGGACCAATGAGACCACATGCCTGCTGGCTCTTGATCACACTGTCCACATGATAATGGGAGCAGTTCATCAGTTTGCTGGTGAGCCAGAAAATCTCAGAGATAAATATGATCCACAGAACACTCATGTCTATGTGGTCTATAAATTCTCAAAGCATCAAGAAATTCAATCATTTTGAATTATTTAGGGGTGCCAACATCCTGACAAAATGAATATGGAAATAGGCAAAGCTCTGTAATTCATCAGGGAAAAACCCAAAATAGATTCCTGCTGATTGCATTGTTTATAAAGGTGGAACTTTCTCAGCCACTGATAATTCTTTTAAAAGATGGCGGCAGCTATGTAGCACCAACTGCTCAAAGTGATTCCAATGAAGCACTGGCTCCTTCCGTTATGACTCTTTAAGCTCTAGAAAGCACTGCCAGTTTTTCCTTTCAGTAGTCTACATCTCTTCTTCATCTCCTCCTCTCCCCCTCATTGGATGGGTCTCATTTTATTTTTCTCCTTCTCTGCTGCTTTACCTCCTCATGTAGCATGAAGACTATACTGTCCTTTGGTTCAGATTCTTTGTTCAGTCTTGTGTCGTCACCCTTTCACCCTACCTTTCTTTTTGTGACTTTAGACAATACTTTCCATTACTGTTTGGTCTTTTCAAAATGCCTGCTGTTTTTGGATAGTGTCTTTCTGTTCTCACTTTTAATTTCTTCCCTTACATGTTTAATTATTTCAAATTCCCAGTTTCTGAGTTTAGTAATTCCAACTAGTGGGAGTGGCTGGGGGTCTAGTCCTGCTGCTGGGTACACTTACCAACTTCCAACACTAAAAGACTGCTTGTGTGTACATTATGAAGTTTGGGATCCCAAACTTCTTAGGAAATGGGACTTTATTTTGGAATTCTGTAGGGATTATAGGCTGTGCCCTGCCAGAATGGCTTCTGCCAGGTAACTTGAGGGTATTATAAGTCTAGGACCATTTTATTTCTACCTATGAGTTCTCATCCACAAAGTGCAAGTTCTGTAAATTTGCCTTACAAAGACAAATCTATGAGAAAAAATTTTCAAGGCAATGGGCATTCTTATTCCACACAGATTGCCACTCAAATAGATATGAGTTGTAACACAACACTGAATTCTACCCATTTGTTTAATGACTCAAATTTCTATTGTTAAACCATACTTTATTCCTGAACTTCAATTCCTACAACCAACTGAACATCTCCCTTTGATGTCTAATAAGCACCTCAAAATTTACTATATGAACTTAACCCAATTTTCCTCTTTCTACTTCTTGACACCCCTAAAAATGCTGGTTCCCATTTCAGCAGTTCAAGATCTCCAGCTCAGGGCCAATGAAGTATGAGGTCTCAAGTTCTGCTCCCTGATCTGGGTGTTGTGGACACTTAGAGGTTCCCCTTCCCTTAAGTTCAACTAATGCTTAAAGAATATCTAATATATGATTATATCCAGTAGGAACAAGAAGCCTTCCTCACCTGCTTAGATGGACACTGTTTTCAAATGGGAGCAGGCAAAGCAGGCTACTTAAATTGCCTACAGTTAACCCTTGTTCCACAAGTACATTTAGGACCCAATCCATTCAGTGCAATGCTAACAAAAGGGAATTTACACATGAGATATTAAATAAACAGGAGTGTGACTATCCTGGTTTCAGGACAAAGATCCCTATAAGACTGTGCAGAGGTATCAAGACTCTCTTTAGAATCCCTATCTCACACCCACTAGGCCTTCGATGCCACCAGAGCTACCTTCTGTTGTCAAAGTTTGTCATATGAATTTTCCTTCCAAGACTTTGAACATATGTTTATAGTACCTGGACTGTCCTCCCCAGCCCTCACTCCCACTCCTTTTCTTAAGCCCACTTATTCTGAAAGGACCAGCTCTTCTATAAAGCCTTCCAGGATCTCTGTCATGTCCCATGCTTTTGGCTCCACCCAAGTACTTACTAATTAACTGCTTACCATGCTACCAAAACCACTCCTATCTAGGAGGGAAACATGCTAACACACTCAGACACATTCCCCATGAAGGAAGAGAGTTAAGCAATGCCACCAATCAGATGGAGCATCCAAACCCAGTTAGTCACAATGTGCCATACCTCCTACCTCCATGCCAGCCCAATCCATAGGACCAAACCTGTTGTAAAGCCTATTCTATCTCAAATCTTTCTGCATTTCCTAGTCCTCAGAGTCCTTGACCCAAACCCCGAAACTCATTTGGGCCAGGGTTCTCAACTAGATACTTGACAGCTTCTTCCTGATTCCACACTTGTCATCACTGGCAGAAGTGACACCATGAATGGCTAAACCTCCTGAAATCACAACATAGCCCTGCCAGGCTCTGAATCTTTGTCCACGGCCCAAATTCTAGATGCAACCTCAAGTGCAGTAGATTGGAAAATTTAACAGCAGCATTTGCTTTAGAGACATTTGTGCTCACTGAATCACATGGGGATACCCTAAAGGTTTCTGCAAGGGTGAGTCACTTATACTTTCTTCATCTTTTCATTTTTAACACTTGCTTGACCAGCCTTCAAAGGGAACAGAGCAAAAGCTACAGGGAACACATCCAGTCACCTACAATTTCCTGTATCTACTGATTCCTAATACAGACAGATCTTTCCTCTTTCCTCCAAAGTTTAACATGATACAGCAGGAATAAAGAGCAGAGAAAGATAATTTGACAGTGTCCTAAAAAACACTAACCTGTGGCAAATATCTGGAGGGGTAACTCTTACTACCATATGTGGCAGAAGAAGAAGAAAAAGAAAAACCCATGGCCAGAAAACAGAGGGTCTTTTCCAGCTTTCTTTATACTTTTTTTTTTGTCCTTCTGTGTCATAAGAACCAGACCATACTCACCTGCTGGCCTTCATATTCAGTCTTATTTTCTAAGTCTTGTGAAATGGTTGGTATACACAGTGGATAAGTACATCTTTAGAGATGGCTTTGTATCAAATATTCTTTTTTTTTTTTTTTGGTCTTTTTGAGACAGGGTCTCCCTGTAGTCCCAGCTGTCCTGGAATTCATTATGTGGACCACGCTGGCCTTGAACTCACAGAGATCCACCTGCCTCTGCCTCCTGAGTGCTGGGATTAAAGGTGTGTGTCACCATATTCTTAATAACATCAATATTCAAATTCATCTAGTGCTTATGAAAAACTAAAGAGTGCTTTCTCACTTCAAATTACATTTCAAAGGTAGTAAATGCACCTGTTAAAAATACATATTACAAAAGTTTCAAACATATATAAAAGTAGTAAGGAAAGTCATTGAAGCCACACACACCATCAAGAGAAACATAGCCAGTCTTGTTTTATCTATATTCCTCCAGGGTTATTTCAAAACTAATCACAGATATAATATTATTTTACACATAAGCATTTCAAGTCCTGACTCTTATAAGTAACTATGGTACCATTAAACTTCCTTCATATGGTTAAATGTTCAGCCTGTTTCATCTGCTTGAATCAAAAAAAGGGCAGTACATTGGCAATGGTCTCTTAAATCTTTTATACTATAGGTCTACCTCGCTGCATGCCACCCTGCAATTGATCTGTTGAAAAGCCTGGCCTGCAACATTGCTCCATCAGCAGCTTGCGATTTGCTCTTCACGGTATCATTAAGCATGTCCCGCATGCTGTTGTTATCCTAGAGAACAGAAGGCTTAAGCATGTTCAGTGTGCTTCTCTGTCAGGACTACTTCACGATCACCAGCATGGGACACCTGGCCACCTCTCTGACCACAATGCTAGCAGTCTTCAGTGATCACTAGCTACATCTACTATTTCATTAGACTGTAAAACAGTGTGACAGCGCCATCAGAATGATATTTACATTTTTAAACAGCTGGGATATGCCAAAGAGACATTCTTCTCATCAATTATTTGGTTACCCCGAGCTATGGTTCAGAGGAAAGACAGGCAGGGGGGATAGTTGAGTCTTTCCAGTTATTATCAGTTTCAAAATGAGTTAATTTCCTAGCATCCTTTGATGTTCCCCAATTATTATTGTTTGTGGTATTACTGAGAACTTAGGAGTCAAAATACATTTGATGTATACTCAAAACAGTGGTTGTTATTATGACTGATTCTTAAATTTACCCTATCTTTGGCTCCTGAGTCCCATAAAATGAACCTAGGAGTTTTTGACAGTATCATCACTCCCTGAACTAACAGGATAGTCTAGGTTCATATGTGTAAGTCCTGCCCTAGCAGGAACTATGCTTCCAGGAGCTGCCATTCACTACAGTGAACACTGGGGTTTAGAGGCTAAGTACTCATGGCTACTGGGTTGGTCCTTATTTCTGCACATAGCCAGAAAAGACCTTGAAAATAACACTCACAGGGTCTTTCTTTAACCTCAGCTTGTTCATGCTTTGTCTTTGAACCATATCAAAAGTCTAGGTTCCCAATTCTGTCACCTCAACTACTAATTTGATTTATTCCATAAAATACACATAAGAACCTCAGATCAATATAACCACCACAATGTGATCACTCACTCTAACAGTTCAGGATTATTCTTTGAAACTACTTCTTCCTTCAGCTGTAATCTATTATGTCTTTATAGTCAAATTTATTGACATTTGAAATAGCCTTTACACAGTAATGCCAGCAGCCTAATATAAAATTAGGTTTGTTTGTTTCAATGTGTCTCAACTTACAGCTCTTCCACATTTAACTCTGTTGTAAAATTATGAAAAATGTTTGCTTCCAAAGTTGAAAAGATAAACAAGATGTGTTTACTCAGAAGTCCTCCCTGTGTACCTTTCTTCCTCCGGCCCACACTTCTCTCCATTGCAGACTGCCATTCACTGTGGTTTTAAATTTTTTCTCCTATTCTTCTTTTTCAGGGCTAGGGATTACACTCAGGACCTCATATATCAGGCAAGTGTTCCAGCACTGTGACTGTTACAGCATTCACACCACCATTCCTCCTGATGAACCATACATACACTTGTTTGTCTCTACTTTGTTGCTGCTGTTTTTTCTTGGTGGTGGTGGTTTTGTTTCCACTGATAATCACTCCACCACATTAAAAGGAGATACTTTTCACTTCTTTAAACAGCTACATCCTTGGAGAAGTTATCCAGCAGATCTCACCCTGGCCACCACCTGGGCTCTCTCCACTCTCTGCTAATGTAAACAGGGCTGCAGCAAACAGCTTTGTGTGTGTCTTCTCTTATTTTTACCAGTGCAGCACTCAGATAATTCCCTGGAAACAGAGCTGCTGCGCCAAAGGGTAAATACAAATGTAATTTTTCTAGCTACTGCTAAATTCTCTTCCCTAGGGTTTAGATGTTTTGCTTTGTCTCCAGCAATATTGGGGCATCTGCTGCCCACTACACCCACAGAACAGTTTGTCAAACGTTAAAATTTCTGTCAAAATGATCATAAATGTACTATCTCAAGTGTGTCATTTGCTTACTTAGTTCTTTTACAAGGGTAAGCAATTTTTGTCTGTGTTTCAGAGCCCTCTGAGATTCTTTTTCTGTAACCCACCTGATTATATATTGAATTTTTAGGGATATTAATACTTTGTGACACAAACTGTAAATACTGTTCTTCCCAATTTGGCACTAGATTTTTTTGTTTGATATATCATGTTTTCAATTATACAAAATTATGTTTGTCATCAAATTTAACACTTCTGAGAGTCAGGGTATTTATTACACTGTCAGCTGCAGGGGAATCCATCAAATTTTTTTCCCCCAGTACTTATGGCAATTTTTTTTTTAATATTTACAAGGTATCTGGTTCATCTGTACTTTAGTCTTGTCATGATACAAACAATAAATTGAATATTGGCTCTGTTTTTAAACACTAAACATCCATGTGTATTTACTGCCTTTTTTTCTAGTAAGTTCCACTAGCCTGCCTTTTTAAAAACCTATCATTTCTAATGACTGAGGTTTAGGTTATAATATCTATTAAGTTAATACCCTTCTCCACTGTTTTTTCTTTTAAAAGAATTTTCCTTATATACTTATTTTATTTGTTCTTTCCAATGAAAGCACTTCCCAACCTCCCTATCCCCAGGAAAATATGTAAACACACACAACTGTGGTAAGTTATAAATTAAGCAGCATTACAAATTTATGATATTGAAGCTAATAGCTACAAGGAGGACTAAGTGTTGGAGGGGAAAGCCTTATGACATTTCACCATTATGTGCTGTGGAAAGACATAATGTGAACCCAGAAAACTTGATACATTAATGTGAGAGTTTATTTAAACAGATTTACATGAACTAGCAAAGACAATTTGTTTTGCTTGTATCATCAATTATACAATACAGACGATGGGAGGGGGCAGAACAAGCAAGCAGAGAGGCATTCATACACTGGCTCACCTTCCTTTTTCAGCCATTTCACAATGTTCCCTTGCTCCATAGTAGGAGACAGCGATGGCATTAGGACCTTAATAGGATCAGCTGCAATTGAAAACAGAAAAGATTAGCCAATCACAGGCACGAAACGTACCTCACACTATACTGACCGAAGTACATGTAATTTAGAATTACATTTTAAATTCTATTCTATTTTAAATACGATATACCAAAGTCCACAACTCCAGAATGAAAAACCAAGTCTTCAGTAAATATTATGGAAGAATACATCTTTCAACTTTAATAGATACTCAACTATTCAGAATATGTGTAACTCCTTTTCCACGGTTCCCAGAATTCTACGCATAGTTCCAAGACAGGTGCTTATAAGTTTAAAAAAGAAGAAAAGGAAAAATTGATTTAGGTCTCAACCCCTTCCTTTCCCTTTGTCTTTGCAATAAACAAACAAACAAACGAACAAACAAAATAGTCAGGTAAAATGACCAAAAGTCAAATAAGACATAAACAACACAATGTTTGAATGTTAATCAAGATTATATTTTAAGAATTGGGTCCTTTAAATTTATTCTTATACTATTCAGTCTTCAAAGGTTCTTGCCAGTGTGTATGAGCAAGGAGTCTGGCTTTATTTATCAAGGATGATCAGGCAGACATCCTAAGTAGTTAAGCTGACCTCAGATTTTGCTCACTACAATTCAAGTGGTGATCTAAACAGGTATACTTGGAACCTGAGAGCGAGGTGAAGCACACCTGTTTTGTCCTTAGACCTGTAAAAGAGACACCATCTTCCCAAGGTTAGCACTATGAAGGACCTTCCTCAAAGAGCACATGGCTTTTAGATGGTAACTTATATAAAATTTATACAAGTAAATACCATAGCAACTAATGACATTCCCAGAAGTCTTCCAAAGAACATAATCTATCCTGATTAACTCTCAAAATGCTGCATCTGACACTTTTCAAATGTGGAGAAGGACAGAATGTGGTTCCTTTTCTCTCCGTTAACACTTTATGGTTAAAAGCAAGAGAATTTAACAATGTTAAACAAGGTTAACTAATTTTACTGTAATTTCAAATGGGGAATTCCCGTGGCTTCAGTGGAAGGGCACTTTCACTCCTTTCAAGTACAAGTGCTGCAGGCTTCTATCCACTTCACTCCTTGTAAAGGACTGGGAAAGCATCCAGAGTCATGACCTCTTCACTCCTTTTCAGAACTTTTCCTCTCAAGGTCTTCAATGGGCTATTAAAGAATTCCCTTTCAAAGGCAGACCCACAGGTCCACTTCTTTCTGCTCCAGTCACTGGGCTTAGTGGGACTGAGGAAGCAATTCACATCCATGTGTTTGCTTTACATACAAGCTCTCCCCTCAAACAAAAGAGAAATCTAAATACAAGGTTGTACTGAGAAGTCCAACCATGGAAGGCCTCAGATCTAAGTCATTCTCTAATCAGACCAGCAGCATTTAGCCTCTACCCATCCATTCAATTTCCATTCATCCGACTTTTCATGATTCAGCTGGTACCAAAGCCTTTAAAAGCTAGAAAAAGAAAATTATAGTGTAATGCCCAACAATGACAGAGCCCAAACTAACTCCATATCAATAGTTCTGTTTTCAATGAGAAGACTCTAGTTCCTATTAAGAATTCAACCTTCCTACCTAACTCTTAAGGCCAGCTCTGCTTTGTCTCAGTGTCCCTAAAACAGAGATCATTATTTAATCACTGCTTATTTGCAGCCTAGTCACCCTGAAATCAAACACAGCAAACCAGACATATCAACTTCACATGAGCATTCCTTGTATGTCTAATGAAATATCCTAATACGCCTTTACTTTGGGCACACAGAACCGCAGTATTAAGAAACCACTTTCACCAACAATGAATGTTTCAAAGGCAGTAAAGAGCAGTTAATCTCAGGTGTAGTACATATAAGAAATACAGGCAAGAAGATAGATACAATGGGTCTCTCAACTCCTAATTTATTATGAAAACATAGCTATCTGGGAATCAAGCTACATGGGAAGAAACTAGAGAACACACACCGTTCAACTGTCCACTGGTCATTTCCAAGCTACTTCTATGTGAAATATAAATTTTAACTATAACACAGCTTTAATTTTTATTTTTTGTAAAGTGAATTCTTGTGCATATTAAGATGTCAGGGAAGTATAAATAATGCAAAACCCTATGTACTACCTCAATACATTGTTCTATCAAAGGAACATCAAATTCTCAAACAGAATGGAATTAGTAAAGTCTTAGAGAAAGTGAACATATACATACAAATGTAACCTTATATTGTAATGTTAGTAATACAATTCCAAATCCCAACAATTCTACACTTGTAGTTATGAAAATTATTAGAAAGTGTTCAAAACAATACATGAAACACATTTTGAAATAATAAAAATGAGCTGATTTCTGATTATGTTGAATGTTTTATACCTTTTCACAGCTTGATAAACAAATGAAGATGTTTCACATAGAATGTTTATCCAACTTAACTTCCAACATTTACTAAGTTCACAGAATGAATGTGCTTAAAAGGGGGTTGGGGGGAGGTTTGGTAGTATTGGTCTTTAATCCCAGCACCCAGAAGGCAGAGGAAGGTGGATCTCTGTGATTTTAAGGCCAGCCTGGTCTACATCATGAGTTCCAGGCCAGTCAGAGCTATACAGTGAGACCCTCCTTGCCTTAAAAAAAAAAAAAACAAGCAGGGCTGGAGAGATGGCTCAGCGGTTAAGAGCACTGACTGCTCTTGCAGCGGATCCAGGTTCGATTCCCAGCACCCACATGGTGGCTATGAACTGTCCTTAACTCCAGTTCCAGGGGAATCCGAAGCCCTCTTCTGACCTCTGCAGCATTACATACAGGCAATACACTCATACGCATAAAATAAAAATAACAAATAAAATATTTTAAAAAGGACAAAAACACCCTAACTTCAAAATAGCAGCATGGTAGGAAGCGAGCCTCTCTCTGAAAAGCACAGCTTTAAGACAACCCAAAATGCTGCTGCTGTCGAAAAGTTCTGTTGCATGAAATTACAAAAGCTCAATAAAAATGTTTTTTTAAAGTTCAGGCCAGGCACAATGAATGAGAGAATATGTCGCAATCATACACATATTAATCTACCAAACAGAATTTCACTCCAAGGAAGTAAAATAAAAGAGCAGAGCACCTTCACAACCAGATTCCAATTCATGACAAGAATTAAATCAGTTGTCTGAAAGCAAAATCTTTGGTATTTTCATAGTTTGGTTGAGCTGCCATGGTATGATTCATGTTTATTTTATGGTTCCATCTCCCAATATAATCTCTCACCTAAGAGACCTTCACATTTCCATTATTCCTGACATTGAGGACTATATTATGAAGCTTCTGCATTAATTAAGCCTTATTTTCCAGAGTAAAACATCAAGAGCTTCAAAATGTTTCCTAAAGAAAAAAAAACTATAATCTTTCTTCATACAGTCACCCTTCATGGATGAACTGGAATTGCTTCTCTGAATAATGGTAATAAAATGTAAGAATCCTGCAGTAGCTCACTCTCCTTACTCTGAAATGAAGGTGACAAAAACCACAGAGACATGTTGGACACTGCCATTATCCAGGCCTTGCCTCCTGTTTGTGCTGACTACAGAGTAAAATGTACAGCATATTCTGATTATTTTAACCAATCTAGCCTCAGACTCTCCTGCTAGAAAAGCTGTTTCAAAGCCTATGTATTAATTTACAAGAGCACAAATTTCATCCTAGTATATCCTCTTTGGACTGAACATTACATACTTCTTTTCCAAATGTATTTTTTCTGATGGAGAAAGTAATTATATAATCATAAAATCGGCTTTAGATGTCAGGGCTACACATAATTAATATTTGCCCTTTATGGCTGCTGTCAACACTATGAAAACAGTACAGGCTTCTTCAGACTCTGATAGGATTAACCTACACCTATGTTATTTAACTTTCAGTGGAAATTAATCACAGCTTTGCTCCTCATCCTAGTAAGCAGTGCATTCCACAGCACTCAAGCTGAAAGAGCTTTGAAGTGTGCATCAACTGTATTTCCTACCAATGTCAATGTTCCTAACTATCCTTAATGAAAGAAACGTGAGAACAAAGGAAATCAAGTTTTTGCTCAACTGGTTATGCCAGTTTATTTCAAATAGTACTTACAATTCTCAATATTTTGTTCTAATTTAAGCTTCTTGTAGTAATTCCATATTATGTTCCTTTTTTACGGAGGTAGCAAATTATACCTAACTGGTTTGTAAAGTCAGTCATTACAAAGAAGTTATAAAACACTGAAAACATTAAGATGACTATGAGTATTTTAAGCATTTTAGATTTAAAGACATTAATTTTAAGAGCAAAAGTCTCACAAATCTTTAGAACTACTTTAATGTCTTTTTTTCTCATATGGACAATACAATAAATTGTAATTTCTTGGTATATTGCTATTTTAGCTACAATATGAGTGACATAAAAAATCTATTACTGAATTTAACAATAGTTTCAAGTAATTTGTTCAAATATGGTCTTCAATTTTTTCTACAGAAAAATTTTAACTTCAAATATGGCATAGTAATCTGATTCTAATTTCTTGGTCTTGAAGTATATATTTTAATTCTGAAAACAAAGTTCATATTTCAATTACATCAAAGATTTAAATTAATGATATATGCACAAATTCTAAAGTGGTCACTGAATTAACAATAAAAGCAAACTGCTAAAATACAAATGCAGAATAAATTACTTTGAGTTATATGAAACAGATCTCAGCTTCATTACCCTAAGGAAAGTAAGGCCATTGGGCACTTTACATATGGTCCAGCTAAGTGGCACGGTGCAGCTCATTTGTTGGACTATAACCTCATAACTACACAAAAATTGTGAAACAAAGCTAGACAAAATTGAAAAAAGTAAATTGCCCAGTATTTTCTTAGGGAAAGGGGCCAGTTGTTTAATCATCTCTTGTTCCAAATTCAGAAGTCACTAATAAATTGAATCTTTAAAACTGTTGTTTAAATAAAGCAATTCTGCCATCTGCAGGCTGGATGGAACTGGAATGCAGCAGAACAA